AAGAAAGCCAAAAAAAAATTCGAATTGAAACCTCCTATTAATAACATAATGATGAAGTTAACATTAGTAATGTCAATGACAGTTTTCTTTTGAAATTTACCGTCAATGCACGAAAAAGCGCTGGTCGGACAGTATTTATTTGTCTGGCGTGCGCGATTTATAGTAAGTAAATATAAATCAAAAAGATCTTTTTAATATCTAAAAATGTTAAAAAATAAGTCGTAGTAAAAAAAAACTGTTTATAAACAAACTTAGTATCTAAAGGCTATCAATGCATGCAGAGAAACTCAATGGAAATATGTGCAATGTAAAAATCTCTTAATTAATGTTTGCTTTAACTAGTGGTTTGCTTTTTAGAAGAACTGCTTGAAATTGCCAATATTGGATTTGAAAGAAGAAAACATGTTGCTGCATTTAAAACATGTAATTTAATCAGACAGATGTGTTTGAGAGTGTCTGCATAAATTGGTATTAATGCTTGCTCATCTCATTCTTATTTCACACCCTGCTTTTTTTTATTTAAGGAAATTTTTCTGAAAAATGCTTTTTTTCAATAAACTCAATTGTGTTGATAGAATGAAGATAAGATGGAATGAGATAAAGATGGAAGCATAAATTAGGTTTAATTGAAACTCCAAGGGCTTTGTATGCTTTCTCAAGATGAAAAAGAGATCTCCATAGAGTGAAATAAGGACATTCTCAAAACACGCTCGTCTGACTACATTACATGTTTTAAAGCATCAATATGTTTTCCAACTTATCTCAATTTTACAACCCTATTTTAAAAGCTTATTTTTGTACTATTAATTGGATGCATATAAAAATTATTAGGCGTTTTTCTGTTATAAAATTATAAAAGGGTTATTAAAAATTATAAAAAGGCGTTTTTCTGTTATGAAATAATTAAACATAAAGTTTAATAATATAAACGAGGTACGAAAAAAAAGTTTTTGAAGATCTTCTTTTTTTTTATCACTATTAGGGGCTGTCCATTGATTACATCAACAAAATAGGGGGAGGGGTCTGAACTTTTTTGACAATTGTTGACAAGGGGGAGGTCAAAAAAAATTGACGAAGTGGGAGGGGAGGTCAAGAAAACTTGACGTCAACACTATATTTTTTTTTGAACATGTAACTTTTTTTTATAAATTTAACTATTTAGAAAAAGGAAAATTGGGCCGCGTTTGCCATCCTGTGTTATATAGTCGCTCAACCTTCAGTATTTTTATTCCTATCCTATAATTTAACAATTTCTACTTTTTAAAAACCGTTTTGTGCATTAAAAGACCATACATACAGAACTAAATAACTACACACAAGATGTTTACTCGTAACGGTATTATTTTTACAAAGTTATTGTTGCCTGTTGTTCACAAGCCTCTTGTGATTTTTTTGATGAAGCTCTCGATTTAGTTTTTCAAATCTTGCCGATCAAATGTAATTTTTTCTCAACAACAGGTTATTTGAATTTTTTGAAATTTCCCCAAAAATAGCCAATCATTGATTGTTGATCGGTCGTTATTTCGAGCGCTGCTCTTTAGCTGCATCTTTACATTGAAATACCTTGACATGCACAAATATTAGTATAGTCAGGAATGCGGAGTCCTAAAAGGACTCCGGTTTTATATCTCTTTTTTTTTTTTGTCTCTGGTGTCTAAATGCTCTGAACATATTGGTTGATTTATGATCTGGTAAATAAAAAAAACTCATGAAATCTAATAACTTGAAACAATTTGTTTTAAGTCCGGAGTCTCAAAGTTCCCAAAATCAAACTTTTTTACCAATCCTTAAGCATTTTTATATTATAAGAGCTCCTGGATACCAAAAACTAGGAAGAAGTTTTTTGTGACATATAAATCTGGAGTCCTTTTCGGGACACCGCATCCCTTAGTATAATATCATAATAAAGATGTTGGTAGTTAAAAACTGAAAAACTTAGTATATTGTAACTTTTGGCTCTTTTGTCTCAAAAGGATACCAACCCCTGGTTTATACAATTTGTTAAATGCTTTTTTAGTTATTCTAGACTCTATTAAAATTAATTGGCTTTTAATGTAAATTTTTATTAGGTATAATGTTAAAGTGAGGAGAATTTTATTAATTTGAAATATGATTATAATTTAAACGTGTGAACATTTTTGTGAACCCATTAATCTTTTTCTTCTTAAGAGAAAAAAATACTAAATGGTTTACAAAAAAAGGCTTTTTTGTATTTTTTAACTGGAATTATGTTTATCAGTTAAAAGTTTAATTTTTTTTTCTATACCTTTTACTTTAATTCACACTTTGTTGAGAACAAGCATTTGTAATTTTAAAAGATTATATTCATTTGAAATATGTTCATAATAAGTTAAAATTTGAATACATTTTTTTTTTTTTATTGGTATGTATTTAGGTGCTCCCAGAAGTCCTTACGGTCTTATCATAGAGCACCGCGGGAGAGCATTTAACAGGGAGTTCATGCCTCCTTCCGTACCAATGTCGCTTGTTGGGCTAGAGCTGGCGTCGAACCCGGACCTCTGGGTTATGAGCCAGAACTCTAACCACTGCGCCACGGCTGCTAGATATAGATGCTTTTTCTAAACATTTTACTTAGAACCACTAATTTGTTTCAGTTGTAAACTCGTGAATTTCAGTTGTAAACTCGTGAATTTAAAACATTTTTTTTTCCATCTTATTTTATTTTATTTATTTATTTATTATTATTACTATTTTTTTTTTGAGGGGGGGGGGGGCGGAGTTATCGAATGTTGACGTAATTTTATAGATCACTGAAAGTTTGACAAGTTATTGACAAGGGGTAGGGGGAGGTAAAAATTGTCAAAAAATTATTGACGTAATTAATGAACAGCCCTTAGAGTTTATGAAAACATTAAATATAATGTTTGGAAAGTTATTTGTGTTTCTGAATAAGATATCCTTTTATTACTCCTCAATGATTATTGTTGTTATTCCTATGTGCAATGCTTTGCTTTAAGCAAATCAGAACTTTTTTAACTTTTTTATTAATTTGTCTCTCGGACAAAACTCTTTCAAAACCTGGAAGATTTAGTTATGCTATTTTAGCGCGCTACTCAAAGTTGTTAAGGTGTTATTCATAGTAGTTAAGGTTTCAAGAAATTGCCGGCAGTTTTATTTTGCTAAATAATAAATGTAAAACTAAAAATACCCCATACCATTTTTATATTTATACTTACATAACAAATAAACAAATACTATCTTTGAAATAAAAATCTCTTATCGAGGAGCTTTTTTATGGAACAAAATAGTTTTGAATAACTCTTTTTTTTCTCAAGAGTAGAATTACAACGCATTCAAACGAAAACTTAAACAGATAATTTTATCTATCGATAACATACCCTTATATTTCTAATTTTTATAAAGTAAAATCCTTTAAATTCACTTCTTAGTATTTACACATCAGGGCCGACGACAAGGGTTAAAGTGGAGGGGCACAATCGTCTATTTTTTTAAAAAGTCCTCTAAATTTGTAAATTTATAAAAAAAATATTTTAGAAAAAACGTGGGGAATGCCCCTGAAGTTTTATATTGAAGTATCTAACCAAGATAAACGATTGTTTAAAAGAAAAACGCCAAATTTTACTATGGTTGGCAAGCAATCTTTTAATTTGTAATAATCCTATCAAGACTTTAAGTTAAACAATCTAATATAATTTAGCTTTAATTTTTAGACCGTTGAAATCTCATGTTTCTGAATGGTATTTTTAAGTAAAGACTTAGCTCAGTGCTGAAATTATTTTAACTATTGCTAAGACATTTGCCAATAGAATATTCTTGAAGGAAATAAAAACTTGTTATTTATCGAATTAACTTTGTAAAAGTCATAGCTTTTTTGATCTATAATCATATCCAAATTAAGGATGTTTTTAAACTTTAAAACAATTTAAAATAAACCCACTGAGCAAATCCCTAAGTAAGTTCAAAAAGAATATTTATCAGTCTTAAATTCTGTACAAAAAATCTCTGAGAAATTTTTTTAGTACAAGAAGTTGAATTAACAAAAATGAGTAAAAAATATTAATTAATTTTATTTCATTTAAAACCAAGTTTATAGATTATCAAAGGTGAGATTAAAAAAAAATTTGATAAGTTTTACTAATTCGCCTTAACTAAGCACTAAGTAACTTAAGTAGTACGTCATCAATTCCTAAACTAAGCACTAAGTAACGTTAAGTAGTACGTCATCAATTCCTAAACTAAGCACTAAGTAACGTTAAGTAGTACGTCATCAATTCCTAAACTAAGTACTAAGTAACGTTAAGTAGTACGTCATCAATTCCTAAACTAAGCACTAAGTAACGTTAAGTAGTACGTCATCAATTCCTAAACTAAGCACTAAGTAACGTTAAGTAGTACGTCATCAATTCCTAAACTAAACACTAAGTAACGTTAAGTAGTACGTCATCAATTTCTAAACTGTAATTAGGACTAGAGTAGCCTGGACACGTTAAGTAAAACAAAATTAGATGTAAGTGAAAAGGCACAACTCTAAATGAATAACATCATTGAATAAAAAGTTTTTGTCGACCGTTCATAACAACTTTTATAAAAAATATTGTTTTTCAAAGGGTACCTGGTTGTTTGTTCGAAGGGTATTCAGGCAGGCATTTTCACAATTATCGACATATAAAAAAAGGAATCTTTAAAATCACACTCACTCGCTCGACTAGACGCTGATGCAAGTGGTTAAAATACTTTGCGCGATATACCATACAATATTCATTAGAGTATCAACTTTAAACATGGCGACAGCAAAGCGATAAAGATAGCTTTTTCATGAACTTACCTACCTTTAACAAAAGTTTTTTAATTATTACTAGTAATCCTTATAGCCACGTGCTATTTTTAGAATATATTTTGCTTTAATACTTTAATAAAAAATCATTCAAATGTCCAGTTAAACTCGTTTTTTGTTTAAATTTGTAAAACTGTCGGTAATGAACTTAGTGAAACAACGACTTAATGAAACAAGAGACAAATACTTAATATTAATTTGATATTTATCGCTTGATGAACTTTCATAAATCTTTAAGTGATCTTGAAGAAAATCTCCAACTCAAGTGAAATGTTTTAAAAACTACCTTTTTATGACATGAAAATTTGAATTACAAATTTGAATTGCAAAAATAAAAAATAAAAAGTAAAAGAAAAAAAGTAAAAAACTCATTTTAAATATAAAATTCTGTAAATATGAAATATATAAAATATCTAATGTTAAGCTAATACTCTAAATTCGAAATTTTCCCATAAAATTATTTTTAAATGAACCTAAATATAACACTCCTTTATCTTCAAAAACTTCGCTAATAAATCCAATCGTTGCTCCAGATGGATCGTGATAACTTTTTATTATATCACCGTACTCATCAATTTTGATAAAAAGTCCATAGGGTTTCAGGAAACCGTCAATATGAACTTTAGGAACGAGCTAAAAAAAAAAACACATTTTGAAACTAAAGTTAGAAAAAAAATATAAACCTTAAATCAAAGTATTAAGCCTAAAAAATAAATTTATATGATAAATCAAAATATTTACAATAAATTAAAACAAATTTAATTAAATTGCTTAAGTATATAAAAAATTTCATTTAACTAAATTCAGTATTCTGTGAAAATTAAAATAACAAGTGTAATTAATTTCAATTAAAATTAATGAAAACTACTGTTAATAGAAGATTAAATTATATAGCTTAGAGAGATTTAAATACCACATATATTAATAAACTATATAATATTAATAATCTAGACATAAAATTTTTTTTAATATCAAACGAGTAGATGGAACAAGAAACTTTTTGAACCAGAAGGTTCAGGTAGAACTTTTGCATTTCTAAATAAAAAAACTTTACAAGACCGAGCACAAATAGAAGATAATAACATAAAAACGTTGATTTCTCAATAAAAAAAAAATCATTTCTTAATATTATCCTAAAAAAAATTATTTTCAGTTGACAGAAAAATTTATCAAAAGTCAAAGAAATTAACTGAAATTAAAAAACAAAAAGTAAATTTATAGTTCATTGCTAGAAATGGATGAAGATAAAATTAAAACTGACTTATTCCTGATATTCTTGAAAGCGTTTGAAGATCTCTCAGTAAGGTCTATGAAAAAATGATCTACGTAGATTTTTTCAATAAAATTTAATGATGAAATGTACAATAAATAAAAAAAAATTCACAAAATCATCTAGTCAACAGTTCACAAAATCATCTAGTCAACAGTTCACAAAATGCTTGGAGGAAGAGGATTGAATAAGAATCTTTAAAACATATAGTCATTTTAAAAAAAGATAACATAACAAATTATAATTTTGTTTTGTTCCGTTATACTTTTGTTTTTTCTAGATGCTGCTGATGATATCCACCAGGATAAATAATGTACATAAAATTTTTTTTTAAGAAGTATTTATAAAATTAGTCACATCTTAAATTTTAATAAACATGCCTACAATTTACTTGAAGCTCAGCATATGCCCCTATCACTTAAAATGCATATGTTTTTTAAAAAAGAAACAACTACTTCACATAAAAAGTATGTTTGCTTTTATGATTTTGTCTAAAAGCTACTTATGAGTATTCTTTATAATATCTACCAGAATTTATACATGTACATAAGATTCTTGAAGCTTTTAAATTTCTGATAAAAAATGAAGCAGTGTTGAAAAAAAACATTTTTTCTGAAAAAAACCTTAAAATAAGCTGCGTTTAAATCAACTTTTTCAATTAAAAAAAAGCATTAGGAATTTTACTGGTGTAAACTATATCTTCTATCAGTATTACTGATATAATTCATCAATCAATACATCATTATTTAATGTTCTGTGTAAGCTTTGCTGCTATTACTGCCTAACCCTGATTTATTGCTGCATTTAAAAACAAATAGACATTTTCAATTAAATAACATACTGTAAATTTAATATACATGAGAAATTACTTTCAGCAGCATCTTTAAGCATTTTAAGAGGTGCATTCATTCATATTAAGTATTTACATGAAGGATAGAGTTCTATTTGTAAACATACCACTGCTTTACTTTCTTGCTGTAAATTTAAAGTTGTTCAAAAAATATTATCTTAGTTTAAATTGATACTTTTCAAATGGCTTAAACCTATCAACCCTGGTATAAAGAATGTGTCACACCCCCATTTTAGTCTAAATGGTTTCCTTTATCACAAAGTCATGTACAAAATGATCAAAACAACCATTTCATAATTCTTCATAATATTTTTCAATTATAAAATAATTAAAAAATTATTTTGTAATTAAAAATATTATGAAGAATACAATTTGAATACATTTAACTTTTGTTATGTCAAGTGCCTCTGGTGTGCTACAATCGATGTCGATATTACCCACCAATGTCAAACATTTCTCCCTCAAATATCACTCTCATGGACACTGGAACATTTAAAACAAGACTTATTGGTGAATTTCAGGTCTTTTGTAGATACATCCACTTTAAAGTACAATAATACACAGGGTTAAACAGATAGAAGAAAATACTTTATATCATATTAACGAGCTACCAAGCAAACTACTAAGCTCAGATCCATTTCAATATATATATAAAAAAAAAAAAAATTCAGGAATTTTTAATTATGTGGATTTGTCTTGAACTACGTGGAAATACTTGGCTCATTGTTAACTTCTCTCAAATGTTTGTATTTTCTTTATTAAAAATAAACAATAAGTCAATCAAATAAAAAAAGCAAGTATATTATGACCTGCAGAAATTTCTAAGGTAATAAATGTCTCTAGTCAGAGCTAAATGCTCATTAAATCTAGGCACAGCTCTTGGAAATGTTTCAACATCATTTCATACTATATTATATGGTATCAAAGATTGATTGTTAAAAAAAGTTGATATTAACAACATTCTACTCATTAACAAAAGATTAAAGTAAATATATTTTAAGAAATACCTTCAAAAACAACCATGTTTGAGGAAAAACAAAATATGTTGCTGCAGAAAATCACCATACCTTCACATAAAACACCTTTTTTCAAGGAGGGTGCCTGAAATACATGTCCATCATTTATGATGTTCTGGGAAACCAGGGTTCAGCTGCTAATTTTCCTAGTCCTACAGACCCAGTTGAGTTATAATATCAAAATTAGAACTTTTGTGAAGACAAATTGAGAACTCTAAGTTAGTTTTATCCAATTAATTTCTGTAAAAAGCTCCTGTAATTTTTTTGATTATAACTTAAAAAATGTAGTGCCTTCTGTTTTGCATATTATGCTTAAAATAGTGCTAAAGCTGTATAAATAACTGTTAAAGGAATATAAGAGTTTAGATTATCAAACTGGTTTATATTTATCTAACAGCAAGAATAAGTAAAAAGTTAAATATTCTCACACAGCAAAAGCACGAAGCAGAAATTGCAATAAATGATATAAAAAATTATGATTGTTTAGGATGTCGAAGGAAAGATATAGAAAATCTTGATGTTTATAAAAAAATCTCTTTTTTTAAGAGAACAATGCGAAGTTCTAAATGTGGACTGATGTTCAATTGCAGATAGTGGACCATAAGATTCTTGTCATGATTAGAAACACTCTCTGATTGCTTGGAGGGGCATTTGAGCTTAAAAAGAATCTCACCTCTGCTAAAGCATGAGGCTCACAATGGCTGGTGAACTTTAATTCAGATAAAACTCAATTTTTTTTTAGCCAATCGTTATCGCAATAATTTAGACCTTCCTATATTTATAGTTAATACTTAATTTAACTCTGCTTGTGCTGCCCATTTGTGCGCATTTACACTGACTTTTTTTACCATTTATTATAAATAGGATTTAGCATGCTCCTTCTCTTTATAATTTTAAACTCACGTAATGAGGTACTCTCAAATCTTAATAGTCTGTCAATATCTGCTTAATCAGTAATAAGATTGAAAACTTTGCTTCATCAGCTTAACTAGTGATAAGACTAACAATTTTTATTTGATAACTTCTGTAGTAGGATGAACCTTATGTTATTTTTGAATTAGTAAAGTAACTTTTAAAGTCAGGTAATTTATTTAATTCATGCATTATAATAATAACACAATTCAAGTCTTTTGTCAATATATTAATCTGTAATTTAAAATTAGAAGACGAGGATGACTCTAGAAGACGTTGCTGTTTTCAAAGGTTAAACTTAAAGGGTAAAGTTAGTGTTTATCTCTAAAACTCTTGCATCTCACACAGTGTTACATGTTAACTCAATGTTACATGTAAAAGAACAAGATCGTTTAATACGTTATTTTAAAGAAGTTAAAAAAATAATAATTTGTTTGCTTTTATATAAAAAACCAGATCGTTTGTTTTTGCAAGTTGCTAAACATTTATTACGAGGTACGCCATTAAACAAATATTACAAAAATAAGGTTGTATTTGTAAATTTTCAAATTTATAAATTTTTCTTAATTTATATATTTACTTATATTTGTGTGCTATTTATTAAGTGTTTCTATGTGTTTAGGTTATATGGGTTTATATTTTGTAAGTGTGTAAATAACTTTTATATATGAGTGTTTCTATGTTTGTGATATAATGTTATTTGTTTATAGTTTGTAAGTGGTTATTATGTTGTTTGCATGCTTTCAAATTGTAGTGACTTGGCTTAGTTTACAGCAAGAGTGTTGAGCTTGCTAGCCAAGTTGTGTACTTTGCTATAATGTAACTTCGCTTTGTTAGGAGCAAGATTGTTGTCCATATCAGTTAAGTGGTGTACTGTCATGATAAAACACATAAATTAAATCTGTTTGTAGTTAGTGTAGTCATAAAAAGTGTTAAAAAAATATTGTTGAAAGAATGTGCTTATAATAAATTGAAAAGATATATAGTTTTTTAATATCTATAATTTTTTTAATATTTATAATTAAGTAAATTTTATTGAACAGACTTATACTTCATTAAATATTTTTTATACTGTTAATTTTTTAAGTAGATTTGTTTAAAAGATATATACTTTGTTCTTTTATGTAAACAATTTATCCTTTTTATGAAAAATTTTGTTAAAAAACTGGCTTCCTTTTTACAAATAGCTCCTCCATATTTAAACATTTAAGTCTTTATTTTCTTTATTAAATATGTTTAACTTAATTTTATTGTTTGTTTTTTTATAATCGCATGTGTACAAAGTGTTACAAAAGTTTTAGTAACGCTAGTAAAATTTTTAGGATTTTTTGTATAAAGAATGTTTTTTCCATAATAATATTTTAATGTTTATTGACATAATTTCTTTAGAATATTAAATACATAAAAAGAAATTTCAGTATTTTCAAGTTTCTTCACTTAATAGTTTTGTATTCTTTGTAATTTTCTTCAATTAATAATTTTGTATTTACTTATTAATTGCAAATCTTGCATTAAATGCGTTTCAAAGTAATGAAAGGGTTTAGTTTAAGTTTACAATAGAAACATGTTATCTTTACACATTGTATTTTAAACATCAAATTTAAATATGACCAAGAGTAAAGGTAGAATATAATTAGATTATTATATTATACTCTGTTTTATTTGCTTATACTTTATTTAAGATGAGTTAAGAAATAAAAACTAAAAGTTTAATCTTGAAAATAAAGTGCAACTTTTATTATATTAAGCATCATTTTTACACACCCCTTTGGTGCTCAGTTATGTCTGATAATTAAAGAAGTAAAATTATAAGGCTTTGTTGTAATTAAAAAAAACCAGGCTAGGCAAACTAAATTTAACTGTCGCCAAAATGAAAGAGATGAGCTTAGGATAGCTGAGATAAATTGTTGTTGAAATGAAAGAGATGAGCCAAGGTGATCTGAAATAAACTGCCGTAGAAATAAAAGATATCAGGATAGGTGTTAAAATCTTTTTTATCTTTTGCTTCCTTCCCAGCCAAAATACCTCATCCCTCAAATAATTGCCCTTTCTGTTTTAGGGTTTATAGGCAAATTTTGCATCGTGTTGGAAATTTAAGGCCTGAAGAAGGTTTTTTACCCACGTATTGTCAGTTAAATATATATAATCTTAATGTAGCAGTGTTACAAACTTTAAATAATCAAGGAAACTCATTCAAACTTTTATCTTTATCTGTAATATCTGTTGAATCAGTTATAAGATCTTAAATTTTATATTAGATGATTTGATGCAATTATAAATTCTTTGTCACAAATGTGTAAATACCTGTAATATATAAGGTGCTTCTATGTGTGTTATGTGTAAGTGGTTATGTTGTTTTCATGGCTTTAAAGTGTTGTAACTTGGCTTGTGAGTTTACATTAAGAGTGTAGTATTGTATTATTATTGTATTTTTTTATATATAGCTTTAGTTGCTTCTTCTGGTACAACAAGTATGTTGTTGTACTCATACTTGACTTAGTACATTATTTGATTGCTTTTATTGTACAATAGTTTATAATACTGTAGCCATTTTTTAAAAAGCCTCAAGGTAAAAAAATGAAATTTGACTTTTATACAAAAAAAAGCTAATTTAGATGCCTACAAATGTTATTGAATAAATATTTTCAAAGAATTATGAAAAAAATTTATAAAAATTTTTAGTTTCAAAAAATGTTTTACAAAGAGGTTCCTCTAATAACTATTTTTTAATTGCGTTTTTCCTGAAATATGTAATAAATGCGTAATAAATATGTAATAAATACGTAATAAATATGTGATAAATACGTAATAAATATGTAATAAATACGTAATAAATATGTAATAAATACGTAATAAATATGTAATAAGCATCTTAACGTAGTACAAATATTTCTTTTAATTCAATCAATCAATGTAATAAGTCATGTTCAAGTAAGTACAATAATTTTATTGTTTTACTTATATTTAATAGTTATATACACTTATACTTGACTTCTTGCATTGATTGATTGCTTTTATTTAATTTTAATTTTTATGTAACTGCAGCTTCTTCTGCTGCTACAAGAAGAAAGATGTTGTACTCACTTATACTTGACTTGAATAATTATTTTTACTATTATTATTTTAATATTAGATTTTTTATAAGTAGTATCTTCCCTATATATATATATATATATATATATATATATATATATATATATATATATATATATATATATATATATATATATATATATATATATATATATATATATATATATATATATATATATATATATATATATATTCAAATAAGAAAATTTAAAATATTTATATAAGTTATTTAAATAAGACACTTTTATTAACAATAATCAATGACAATAAAAAAAGGTCAGGGTCAAACAATTGATAAAGTTGCTATTAATTTCAAAATACCTTGATTTTCATACAACTAATTCTATGTAACAAGTTCTAAAATCAAGTCATTTGCATTACACATGCATAACAAGTCATTTGCATAAAACCTGCATAACATTTGCATATAGACATAGTAAACAAGGTATGTCATTGAATGAAAATTTCACAAATGTTATATTTGTAAATGTTCTTAATTTATAGTTTTTGACAAGTATTTTTATGTGTCATATGATGTGGTAATGTGTGTTTTTATTATATGTTATATAAGGCTATATAGGTTTATATTTTGTTAGTGATTCCATGTGTGAGCTGTTAGTAGTTAAAATATGAACAATAAACTCTGGATATTTTAATAAGCTTTAACTTAAACTAATTTTAAAATTTCATTTGAGCCTTTATTTATGGATTATACTGCCAATCTAGCATTGTCTAACAAGCTAATTTCTTGGTCCCTATTAAGGTTTGAGTAATTTAGAGTTTACTGTAATAGGTTATGTTATTTGTTAATGTTGTGATTTTATTGTTGTGTTGTTTTGTATTGATAGATCAGATGACTTGGTTTACTTTCATGTCGGGGTTTTTAATTTAAAATGATTATTGGGTAGTTTCATTACTGAAACTGACTACACATAATCATTCACTAAAAGCTAAAGATTCAGTTTTCAAATAAAAACAATGGTATATCTTATTGTGATCATTTATTTTTAGCCTTGCTTTTTTAAAAAGAGTTGTTAATTCAAACTTGCAAAAATAAACCTTGAAACTTTCACAGAAGATAAACAACCTCACAAAGTATTTTTTTTATTTGTTACTTGTTTAGTCACATTTTTGAGTTTTCAAATAAATAAATAGAGTACATAAAAAATCAATGTATATTAGGCGTATTCAATAATAATTTTGTTCCATTTTTAGATCGAATTTCTTCTGTTGAAAAGTATAAATTTAGTTTCAAAAGCTCCTATATGAATTTAAAGCAAAAATGAATTGTGGCTTTATGGCAAAAAAGATATTACAATGATTTATTTGCTTGCTTGTTACATTATTGAAATAAAGAATTTGTTTTAGTTTTACATTGTTTTTAAAACGACTTTTTAAAATAATAATTAAGTACTTGATTATTTTATGATTAATTAGATACTCCAAAAAACTTCTACTTAAAGTAATATTTGCCTCTTCAAAAATTTCTAATTAAAAATCTTTATGTTAAAATAATAATAAAGATAATATCACAAGCAAAGAGTAAATATTCAAAACTAAAAACTTTTGATGCGGTAATCTTAAATTAAAATCTTTAATCTGCAAGCCCCCATATAACTAAAGTCTTTGAATTTTTGGTTTTATTTATTTCATATATAAATGCATTTTTCAGTACCTTGGATATTAAGAGATTTGAAAAAAAGAATATAATCAATCAAGGATGACTCTTTTAATAATAAATTTAAAAAAGTACAAGTTTTTTTTAAACAAAAATTAGGATGCTTTTCATAAACTGTCTATTACTTATTATTTTTAAAAAAATTTTATTTTATATAGAATAATACTATCAAAAAAAAAAAAGATTCAGAATGAAAAACAAACATAATTTAAAAATACCTTTGCAATTAGAGACTTAATTTTAGGATATGGACCAACAATGTCAAGAAAACTAAAAGGCCACTTTCTTATGCCTGGTAAAGCTACCCAATAACCACCTTCAAGAGATGTTCTAATGTTGTCTGGGAATCCAGGAAGGTTGTCTTGAAAAACATCATAAATTCCTTTTTGGGAACCACTTATAAAAAGTCTTTAAAAGAAAACACAATTATAGAAAAACATTCATTAAATAAATGTGTAAAAATGTGTAAAATTATGTGTAAAATTATACAATAAAGCTGTGTAAAAATGTGTAAAATTATTCAATACATTATAATAAATACATACCTAAGAATTCTACTTGAAGCTGTTTCACAAATTAGGAGAAAATCCTCATCTGGCGACAAAGTAATACCATTGGGAAAAAATAAACCACTCAGCAACAACTCTGTTTCACCTGTTTTAGTGTCATAAGACAAAACACGCCCTTTCCCACCACCTTCAAGAAGCATGTAAGCATAGGATTTGCGATCCCAACGCCAACTGGAATCTGTAAAATAGATTTTTCCATTGCTTGCAACTGTTAAATGATTGAGAAATTTAAATGGGACATTTTTTATTCCCTTGGATGCAGGGACAAGTGTAGTAAGTCTTTCAGAAGCTAAATTAAGACTCATCAACCCAAAGTAGCCATCGCATATAAATAAGTTTTCCTCTTTTTTGTCAAATTGAATGCCCAATGGCCTACCACAAATGTGTTCCATTGTATCTTCTCCTAAAAATTTGTTAGTCTTTGTGTATATAATAAACTATTGCGCATAAAAAATTAACTTTAATACTAAATAATTAGGTTAACAAAAATCATACCACAATTTTTATGATTTTCACCAGTCCTTGCTAATTCTTTTATTTCACCTGACTTCAAAATTTTGACGATTCTTCCATCATGCAAGCCTGTATAAACGTCACCTATGGTAAATGTATATAACATCTATAAAATTAATTTCTAGCAATTTAAATAACAGCACTTAAATCAACACTTAAAATGTTGTAATAATTTTTTTCTTTAGTTTTTTTAAAAGTAATTATACAGTATTACTATATTAAATATTAAATAAATTCACTCTTAACAAGATTGCAAAAAACCACTTTTTAAAATGAAAGTTTACAGAAAACAAACAAGAAAAAGAAAAGTACAAGAAAGTGATTGACAGAAAAAAACTGTTAATTGTATGAGATATAAAACTAGTTAAATAAAAGTTTTTTAGCAAAGAGTTACAGTAAAAACAGGATATCAGATATATAGAGGAAGAGAATGCAATTAAACAATGATAATGGCAAACTAGATAAAGCCAGGTAACTCTTTAAGAGATCTGAACTTTGCAATGAGTTGCATATATTTTTTTTTGTAAGAGATCAGTAAGGAAGGATAATCTGAGATAATACAAAATAGAAGACTCAGTCATGTCAACAACAATATAGGAATATCAACATCAATGCAAAAGTTAACTCAAGAAAACAACAGCGTTTGGTTTGGGTTAAAATTCACAAGCCTCTGCAGCCAAAAGCTGTCACAAAACAGACATCACAATCAAGGTTCTAAGATGTTTAAAGCAAAAAGTAATTTATTTCAACACAGAAGTATATTTTTGTGTCATCAGTAAAATGTGTCACAAATAGAGATAAAATTATCAGGAAACTAATAATATAGATGAGGAACAACACAGAGCTAAGAACAGAACATTCTGGTACCCCAGAAGTAACTTGAAATAAAGTGTTATCCGTCAAAGACAATTTAAATACTACATTTAAAAAGGAACAGTCCTTTTACTAAATAATTACAAAATTTTTTCTTTTCACACGACGAAAAGCGAAGTTTTAAAGTAGATTAGCCAGCTCAACTTTATCAAAAACCTGTGATAACTCAATAGCCCCACTTTCACTATCTAACGCACAATAGAACTATAATATTATGATGGTTAACCAAAAGTAGAACAAGAAGATGGAAATCTATTGTCATATATATATATATATATGTTATATATATATATATATATATATATATATATATATATATATATATATATATATATATATATGTATATGTATATGTATATGTATATGTATATGTATATGTATATGTATGTATATTAGGGTGTCCAAAAAACACACTTTTTTTAAAATTTCAATGTGCTCTCAACTGATGACCATTCTATAGGTCCTAAATAGCTACCAAAATCTTTTTTTTAACTTTTTAATGACTAGAAGTGATAGATGTAAATTCTGAGTTTTACAGTTTTGTACACCAGGCCTTGCGATAAAGCGTCGGGCGATGTGAATTTTACGTCGTCCAAGAGCGATTTTGCGTGTAGCTAGGGCTATTTGCGTCAAGCAAAAATTTTTTTGTTTGAGTATATTTAAAGATATTTTTGAGCGGAATTTTAATGAAGTAATTCACAATTATTTTAACATTTAATAAAGTATTTTAAAAACCGCACGCAGTTGAAAAAGTTTGAATTAAAAAAAATTAAATATGCTCATTATTTACAAGAAGAAAAAATTCAGATTAAAAAAAAAGTTTAAATCTTTTAAGCTAACATTTTAATAAAATTATTCAGCAATAGCAAAGTTGTCGATAAAATTGAACAAAAATACTTTCTTTTAGTTTTAAATTTTAAACTTAAATAATTATTTTACGTCAAGCAAAAATTTTTTTGTTTGAGTATATTTAAAGATATTTTTGAGCGGAATTTCAATGAAGTAATTCACGATTATTTTAACATTTAATAAAGTATTTTAAAAACCGCACGCAGTTGAAAAAGTTTGAATTAAAAAAAATTAAATATGCTCATTATTTACAAGAAGAAAAAATTCAGATTAAAAAAAAAGTTTAAATCTTTTAAGCTAACATTTTAATAAAATTATTCAGCAATAGCAAAGTTGTCGATAAAAATGAACAAAAATACTTTCTTTTAATTTTAAATTTTAAACTTAAATAATTAAACTTAAATAATTATTTTTTTATTCCATAGATTTAAAATAAATAATTTTAAATCTATGGAATAGATTTAAAATTATTTTAAATCTATTCCATATATTTAAAAATATTTATTAACTGTTAGACGTATTTAAAGTATTTAAGAGTAATTTCGAGGAAACATTTTAAAAATTGGTGAGCGCAAATAAATAAAAAAAGGATTAATATTAAAACGTATTCTACTTGATTCAATAAAAAGGTACAGTTAATAAAATTTTTGTAAAAAGTAACTCAAAAAAATTACTTAATAACGATCGCTTTTATGTTAAAAGTTACCGAAACTCAACGAAGCGTGCTCAAGAACAGCTGCTGAAAAATAAAACGTCAATAGTTTTTCAAATAATTTTTAATAATAATTTTTAATAATAATTTTTAAGAATAATTTTTTCGCTGAAATATTTCTTTTATACCTATAAGATTTTTATTCTAACATTTTATTTTATTCTACTAGAAATAAAATTCCTTCAAAACGTGACAAACGTCGAGAAAATAAACAAATGTTTTTACATTTTAAAAAACGAAACATTCCAAAACATTTTTAAATAATAACATTTCTACATAAACGATTTAAAGTAGTTTTGCGGTAATTAAGTAAATTGGTGCAGTTAATGTCGATAAATATGAAAAGCAAATAAAAAGAATTTAATGACGTCAAAAATCACTTGTGCTTATGCGCCGCGCAGTTCTTATTCATCGCAAGGCCTGGTACACATATGTGTATTTACTAAAAAAAAGCGCTATCTAGTATTTCAATATATTTTAATATGATGTAATAATAACTACACAAATAATTCCCATAGGATATTATTAAAGAATAGGATCAATCCCTATGAACATTGTTAGCGATTAATATTTTCCCCTCTGGACAATATTATTAGTTGGTATAATTCCCCATGGATTGGTTCACAAATAACTCCATTTAGAAATTTTTTTTGAAGGAAAAAATTTCTAAATGGAATTATTTGTGCACGAAGGAATTCTAATTTGTGCATGAAGAAATTCTCGTGTAAACGGTTATAAAAGCCGTAATGGTAAACTTAGATAAAATATTATACGAGAGGGAATAATGACTTCATAGATTTTTGATGCAAGTGTAACATTTAATAAAAATTTAGTTAAAAAACTGATTATTTCGAAATTCATATAAAGATGGGTAGAAAAGCTAAAAAAAAGATGACAGGACAGAATAAGAAAAACGGAAAAATACAGAAAGGTTGAGGTATATTTACCTATTGAAGTACCCACTGAGGGAGTTACCTCAGAGACAGCTTCCATCTAATGGTGATATTCTTAGATACTATCAATTTATCCTTTGCGAGTCACAAGTTAAATACAAACCCACTTCTACTAATGTTGGTTGCAAATTGAAATCGAAATCCAAGGATCTTGTTTGTGAAAATGGTGTTTGTACAAATCCTGATAATTCTTGCTTGGTATCTAGGATTAAAAAAATTTGGGATAATGCTGGGTTTGGCAAGAAATTTGTGATTTGTGGGTACAATATAAAGACCAAAATCATTAAACTTAATTTAAAAATACAAGAAATTGATTAAATTGTCTTCTCTAAACTGGAACAGCAGTCTTGATAAGCAATCAAAGTTAGAGTAAGATTTTCTCACAAAATCCTATCAGCTTTTTGACATCTTGACTAAGAATTTTAAAAAAGATATTCTTGCTGATAGATTGAGAACAGATGATGCCAAGCTGGAAGATATAAAGTAAGTTCATTAAATAACACTTTTTTTAGTAGTGAGATTTTTTTTCCAATTAAAAGTAACTCAAGTAATAGAATATTATTTCCTTTAAAATATTTACGTTTAACTCTTTACATGGTTTGGTCATCTTCCAAGAAAAACTAGAACAATTATTAACTTATTTATAAATGGCTTAATAGATTTAAATATTTCTTAGTTTTTATGAAGACCAGAAGTTACATAGGAAAAAATATATGGAAACAAAAGTCGATGAAGACTACAGTAGAAGAGTACTGGATGCAAACAGGAGAAAGAACAAGCTAGATAAGTTGAGAGAGAAAGAATTAGAGAGACAGAAAAACTTAAAAGATATCAATGATGTTTTGTTGTCACATGACTCCATGACAGAAGAGATTCAATTCAGCAGTGAGGAAGAAAAGTCAAACGAGGACTCTGAAATCAGCGAGGAAGATGATTTCCTGGGTAACGGTTGGAAACACAGGTATAGTATTATTTTAATAACATAGTTGTAATTTTCACAAGCTAAAACTGTTTTATTGAGAAGTATATAACTATAAATAGGTAGAAAAGTATTATAAAATGATATCTAGGTACAATTCTGGAGATAGGATAAATCTAGCAGTGAATGTTGAAAAGCTCATTGAATGTACTGCTATTCCAGCAACAAGGTTCAATGTTGGTGTACGACCTCATCTGGCAATTTTAAGTGAAGTATTTAAAGCTGGAGGTATAGAAATTAATGATATACCGCTTTCACGAAGCACACTTCATAGAAAAAAGTTCAAATATGTAGAACTTGAAGGAGACTCGGAGTGGATTTCAATATCTAATCATCTTAAAGGCCGCCGGCTTATTCTTCATTTTGATACCAAACTGTTGGAACAAATTACCACTGGGCTTAACATTATTCAAAAAATTGAGCGACTTCCAGTCTCAGTGAGTTCCCCAGATGACGATACCATGGAAGACCATCTTTTAGGTGTTGTTCAATGTCTCTCTTCAAAAGGATTTGACCAAGCAGAACAAGTGCACAATCTTTTAGAATATTACGGATGTAAGATATGCTGTGATACAACTGCAAGCAATACAGGCGGAGTAAATGGAGCAGTCTATTCTTACAGATATTTTGAAATTACCAATTTTGTGGATAATGTGTAGGAGACACATATATGAAGTACATGTATCTCACTATATGGCTGCCCTTACTGGTGAGAAAACTAAAGGTCCAAGAAGAGCTCTTTATGTCAAGCTAAAGAACAAGTGGCCTGAAATCTGTGAGAAAGTGAATGAAGTGAAAAATTTATGTAAATTGGACTGGCAAAGAGATGATCTGAAGATTGGCTCTGTTCTTCGCACTGTTGCAGAGGAAGCTAAGACATTTTTGACTAATGCAACTACTGATATAGTGTTTTCAAGGAATGATTATGGTATAGTTTGTAAGCTTGCCTCCTTCTTCCTTGGAGTGAAAGTACAAGATTTTAAGTTCCATCAACCTGGCGACTGCCATGAGGCAAGGTTTTTAGCAGATGCGATCTACATCCTGACTCTTTATATGACTAAAGATATCAGTAATATCTTGACAGAAAAAGATTTGCTGCAGTTGAAGGATGCAAGTTTGTTCATTGCAATTTGCTATGTTCCATGGTTTTTAAAAAGTTTTTTAGGATTTCTGGCTCCCTACAATGATTTGAAAGCTATCCAGACAGCCGATGCATTGAGAAAAGTTAGTAAGAATATTGGAAATGCTTTGCTTCTCAGCATGGGACGCCATACGTGGTACTTAACTCCGCAACTCTGTGTTTTTTCCTTTGGGGATAAAGAAGTTCCTTCTGAAACAAAGCTAAGAATGCTGTTAGCTCTGATTGAGTTTGAAGAGCCAAATGAATTTCAGCGTTGTAAACCATCAAATGTACAAATTGGAGAGACCACAGAGCTACCTGAGTTGATTTCCGAGCAAAGCTACCTTCTCTTCAAACATTTTAAAATATCAAGAGCAAGTATAAAAGAATGGCTTAATAATAGTCTTAATACTATAGATGTTTTTAACCATCCTCAGTTGCTAGATTTTATTGCATGGATCAAAAACATATCTGTTGTAAATGATGGTGCAGAAAGAAACATTAAGCTCATTAAAGATTTTATTTCAGCTACTAGAGATGAAGATCACCTTCAAAATCTACTTTTTGTAGTTAAAAAGTCTAGAAAAAAACTTGACTAAGACTATGACTAAAAAGGAGCTTGGGAACTGTTCAAAAAGTTGTATTTTTTGAGAAATGTTTCACCGCAATAAAATCTTAAATTTGCTAATAAATATTAGTTTTCATGTATTTTTTTTGTATTTTCATATTTATAAATATAATCTATCAAGCTAAATAGTAGAAAACAATTGGAAATGATTTATACCCATCTAATTGTTTTGTTTTAATTTTCTAAAATGTGTTTTCTATTAATGTTAAGCTAGCTTAACATTAAAACAGTAAAACTCAGATTTTACATCTAGCACTTCCTGTCAAAATAAAATCGTCAAATTTTTTTTAGTACTTATTTAGGTCACATAGAATGGAAATCAGTAGAGAGCTTTTTTTTTTTTTTTTGGGACACAATGTGTGTATATATATATATATATATATATATATATATATATATATATATATATATATATATATATATATATATATAAATACATATGTGTGACAACAGAAGAAGAATCTTAAGTTTTTATATATATAGTGTGCTCTTAAAATTTGATAATTTATTTTAATGTTTTAAATTTTTTTTTATTTGTTTAAATTTTTAGTATTAAATTTTGTTACTTTATATCTGATGCTCTATATGTTTATAAAAATACTTATTGCATAAAAAGCATTAGCTAAAAAAAAATAACTGTACCATTACGATCTACTTGAATAGATTCAGGACCTTGTAGCTTTCCTTCACCTATTTTTACTATGCCTTCCAGTAAGTTATTTTCTTCCATAACTCCTTCAAAGTAAGGTAAAGATCCTGGAGTTCTAAAAATTGTAACTACCTATAATTGTAAATATCTAAACAGAACAATTTTTTTTGCACAAAACAATTATTTAATAACTTGAAATCTTTTGTATATAGATACGTATCATAATTAAAATTTTAACCTATGTAAAATAAATTGAAAGTTTGAATAATAATAGTTTTAAAATTTTTTGTTGAAAACATAAAAAAAAATTAAGTTAAGGAGAAAATTAAAAATAAAATTGAAAAAAAAAAGATTTTTTTTATGGGTTCAAAAAGTTTCTAAAAGATTGCAATAAAGCAAATATCCATTATAAATGAAAACAGATCACTAAAATAGTATATCAAAATATATCAAATTATGACCTACAGTCCTACTAAATACTGCTATTTTTAAGAGGTTTTTAGTTCAAGTTATTTCTTTTAACATTAAGTTTTTTTTAAGTCACTCTTTCCAGTAGGTTGACCTGAGATGAAACTGATGAGAACGATTTAAAAACCGCATCTTTTTTTATTTTTTTGATCCTTTTTCTAAAAATTTTAAACCTTTATATTTTAATAAAATTTGAAATCTAAATTATAAATAATATCATAATTAAGATAAAGATACCTTTTTATTAAAAATAAATTTCCCACAACCAGCAAGATAGTAAGACATTTTTTGAGGATTTTTCTATTCCAAGTTACAATTTTCATTTTGACTGCTTCAAACCAATGTTTAATAATTTAGAGGCTGATTGAAAAGGATTGTCATAAATAAATCAAAATTCAGACAAGTCTCAAGATTTATTAATTGTTAGATAATTTTTAATAATATTAGACAATTTGATAAAAAATTGATTTATAAAATTAAAATCATCTAATATAGAAAACACAAAACAATAATGATTTGTTTCAAAGCATTATTGTTTAGTGTTTTCAAAATTAGAATTTTTTATTTCTCTTTTTTTCTGGTTTAAGCAAGACTTAACCCAGAAAAGATGTTTTTGTTATACTAATAGGGTATATCTTTATTTATAAGAGTAGGTTGAACACGCATGGAATAAATTATTAAGTCTGCAGATTGCGGCTAACATTATACTGCAAGAACCAAAAAAAATGGAGACGGCGTGCTTTGACTAAAACGTGAATTTTAAATTTAATGGTGTGCATTCATTTTATAGTTTTAATTAAAAAAATTTAGCCCAAATGTTTTTTTTAAACATTTTCTTTAGTATGAACACAACTTGTCTCGGCAGTTGGGGATCACTTTAAACAAAGCATTATGCATTTGCTCTTTTTTGCTGTGATTTTTATTAAACTTGAACTACTAATTAATTATTGATTTGATTTGACTCTGTGTACAAATAATGACTTTTATTTAGTTTTGGCTTGAAACTTTACTTTCTCATGTACAAATATTGAACCACAGTGGAAATATAGTTTATGCGCAAAAAATGTTAAAATACTATAACTTTTGAATATAGAAATTTATTGGCAATTTGATAAAATTGTAGCGTTTTGGGTGTTATATTGCTCGTATTGGTAGTGAATTTAACTGCTTCAAGGGAACTAATTTTTTAATTTTAATATTTTATTTTGAAGAAGCTTTTTATGTTTTTTAACTATTATTGTTGTTCATTTATAGTTATGTTTATTAATTGTTTTTATTTTTCAAGATTTCATAAAATAAGTTTATCAAATTGTACATAAATCGACTGATGTAGCTGTAGTGGAGTGTACATAGACCAACTATGTACTACTACTTAAAGATAGTTGATCTATCTACACTCCAAAACTAACTAGATAGATGCAGTAGAGTATGCATACATCAAGGGTTTTGGATTGGGCAGGCATTTTTTTATTTAAAAAAAAGTATTTCAATATCTATCTAATTTGTAAACTAATTTAATTAACATAAAAACTAACCAATCAAATTATACTAGATTACTAGATTAGGTACAATACTTGTATACCCTTGTTTTTATACAACCTTTGTACTTCTTTTTTCAGGGTGGTTAGATTTTTATTAGTCCGTATAATTAAAAAACTAATTAGCAATGTAACCCAGAACTATGAGAAACTTTGTTAACTTATTTAAACTAATTTGTTTTCACGTCTTTTCACTAAAAATATTTTTGCTATATTTGTCGTTATTTCTCAATACTTATATAATAGGAAATTAAGAAAATAAATTGCTACTGATTCGTTAAACATTTGATAAATAAATTTTGTAATGACAAAGAAGACAAAATAAAGAATAGCATGGTTTCTTTTATAAATGTATTTATGACATTTGATTTCTATCTGAAATTATTTCCTTAAGAATTACTAGAGATTTTTTATGCTTTCCTGTGTATTGATTAAAACAGTATACATTAGCAAAAACATTTGAAAAATGAATTTTAAAATAACCCATATTTCTTGCACAAATAATAAAATATTTGGCAGTGGAAAATAATAAATGCCCTAAAAAATGAGAAGAAAAAAAACAGCAAAATATTTAGGTATATTTTTTTTTTGACAAAGTTTTTTTTAATTTTTGCTGTTTTTTTAATTTTATTTATTAAGATATTCTATTTCATATAGTATTTGTTTCCTATCTTCGAGTATTTCTGTTTTATTCTCTGTAATTTTTTAAAGCTTTATTTAGCAGCAAATTCTTAAAACACTTACTATATAAACTAGTGGTCAATTTGTCTAAAAGAATCACTTTAAACGTGGACAAACAAGGCTTGCAACCGCACTGACTTCCTGGAAAGTCTTGTATATCTAAAAAAAAATTTCAAGATATCCGCATTTCCAGAAAAATCTTCAAAAAGATAATCCCTGATTATTGTTTAATAAAATATTTTTATAAGGTTAAAAAATAAAAAAAGATTCAGTATTTAATTAGTTTTCGATGGTTTCAACCTCATATAAACCTACTGAAAAGAGCAATCCAAAAAATTTAAAGTAAAAATAACTTACACTAAAAACCTCCTCATACGGCAAATTTCATTACGGCAAGGGGGTACTGCCACCCAAATTATTTTTCTAGAATAGCCCCTGCCTATCTATGCTGTCCGAAATCAGTTTTTGAATCAATTTGTTGAATAAAATCAAAACAACTTACATAACTGGAACTGGGTCAATCGGACAAGGTACAATCACTACATATAATAACGACAAACTTAAAACTGCACCAATAACTTGCATAGATATTTTAAGGGCTGACCTAAAATATTATTCAATCATTTATCAAGAAACAAACAACAACAAAACATCTTACATTTAATCATTTTATTAATATCATTTACTTTAATTATGCAGTGAAAAGAACATTTTTAAATGGATTTTTATCGATGCTTTGGAAAGCAATCAAATGCTTTGCAGTAAATTTTTGAATGTATTAGAAAACTAATTTGTTTTAAAAATGTATTTTTGTTTTATCTTAATTAGATGTTTAAAAACTTCGAAAACTCAAAATTTAACAAACAATTTAATGGTATTCTACTACAAGGCGCGACAAATCATTTTTTTTAAATAAATATTAATGTTGACATATACCTCTTAAATTGACAAACCTCTAATCTAAGAGGCATTTGTTAAATAAGAGAGTTTTATTTTAAATAATTTTTTTATTCAAATAATTTTTTATTAAATTATAAAGGAGATTTATTTTTAAATAACTTATTCTAGTTAATGAATTATTATATATATCAAACATGCTCATTGAATTTATTCAATTTTTTATTATTTTAATTCAATATTTCATGCATCTGCAAAGTGCGTGCAAATTAATGGTAATTAAAGGCTGCTTTCCACAAGATAAAAATCGCACAAAGCAAACTTTTTTGTCATGACGAAACGCCGCACAATGGGGCAGAATTGCTTCAAAACATTTGATGAAAATGAAAAAAAGCGTTATAAAACATTTTTTTCAAGAATTCTTCAATTTTAGGTATACTGCTATCTTTTGCTAATGAAAAAATAATTTTAAAGTGCTTTAAATATACATTAATAGGTCTTTTAAAAAAGTGCATTTAAAATATTTTATTAATTTGTCCAGTTTTAAAGCTATTCTGTCCCACTGTGCATAGTTTTGATTTCCACATATTATTTTTCGCACTACTATTTTCGTTATCAATAAAAAATGGCAGCAATAACTTAAGCTGTATATTTTTGAAAATAAAACTATATATATATATATATATATATATATATATATATATATATATATATATATATATATATATATACACTTCTGTCAAAAAATTGTTACTGCAAGAAGCAATAAGTGGTTCAACTCTAAAAGAAAATAAATCTTATTGTGAAGTGAAACTATCGGTATTGACAGCATTAGTAAATTCATCTTTATTAGATGAATTCGCTAATGCTTGCCAATTTTCAGGGTGAGTTTTAGGTAAAAAGAAAACAAAGTTGGGCATTTTGTTGTTGCTCATTGTTGTTGTTGCCATTTTAAAAAAAAAATTCTTTTGCTTATTTTTAATGTTGACTTTACATGATATGGGATCATCCATAAATTACGTAAAGCAAACTTTCACAATTAACAAAACAAAAAAAGATAAAAAGTTATCCATCGCTGAGTCCTAATTTAAATAAAAAATCAAAGTAGTGCACTTTAAATTTAATGAAAATCGCCGTGTAAAAGAGCTTAAGATCTTATACACTTCTATTTTTTAAATATATTTTTTTCGTTGCGTAATTTGTGGACGATACTTATACTATTTAAATATGATTGGCTTTTGCTCATAATGATCGACTTTTTTTTTGCTGCAGCGAATTGATTGATCAGCAATTTTAGCAGAAATATTTTATCTGTGCATGCTTATCGACGAAAAAATCTTGTTTTGTGGAAAACAACCTTTTTTTCAAATCTGAAGTAATGTTTGTTTGCATACTAAAAGCACTTTTAAAAAAAAGAATTTTTAAGTTTTGTTGAAACATATATAATCTAATAGAATATATAGAATTATTTTGTTTATTATAGTTTAATTTATTAATATAGTAATAATATGATATTTTTAATATTTTACTTAATATTATAAATATAATAATATCATGTTAAGAATTTAATAATAACTTAATATAATAACTTATTAAATACTTAATACGATATTATTTTTAAAGGTTTAAAAAAAAAAAAGACAATACAACTTCTATTTTGTTTTTAGTTTCCTTTTATTTTAATTTTCTCAAGTTAATATGTTTTTTAATTAAATTTAACTAAATTAAGAAAAATTCATTATTTTGTATCAATAGATAACTGTATATAATAGATAACCGTTTACAATCATTAAGTTATTGCATATTAAGCTTCTAAAAAGAGCAATATTTTAGCATAGTTTTTTTTAAAGTAATAGCAAATGCGTTCAATTTAAGTAAAATTTTGCAGGCTTTTGTAAACGCATGTAAAAACCATGCTGAAACAAAATTACTTTTTTTAATAGCGTACTTGTTAAACGCATGTAAAAACCATGCTGAAACAAAATTACTTTTTTTAATAGCGTACTTGTTATTTGACTTAAAAGTAAAACTATGAAAGTAATCCTATTTGGTTTCAAATAGTGCAATGCTTCTTAACAATGCCTGTAACTCCTCTCTTTTTATAAGGTGGAGGGGGGCAACAAACCCTATCCCAATCAACTGATGAAAAGTTTAAACTTAAAAAACTTTATTTTTTTAGACTAATTTTAAACAACGACAAAAAAATTATTAAACAAACTTTTCTTTAACAAAAAATTTATTAGTCTACAATTGTGGTTAAATGCTTTTAATTACGACTTTATTTTTTCTCAATAAACATCACATAAACGATATCAAAAGATAATTTAAATATTTTAAAAAATTAAAGTTTTGGAGTAACGCAAAACTGCTGAACATGTATGCAAATCGCCTTTTCGCAAGTAAAATGTGAGCTGTATAGTGGTCCATAACAAGGCCTGGTGAACGCCAACGTTTGCTTAAGTAAAAGTACAGAAACGTAACATTCATTTTTCTGTTCTTTTTTTAACAAACGTTTGCATGTTTATCGATTTGTCGCACCCTGTACTATAGTGTATATAGATCAGCAATTGGTTACTCATTTTTCTAATTTTTATTGCATATGGCATTTTAAGAAAAAGAAGAGAAAAAATAACGAAGAATAAGTAAAGAACTCTCAATTGATGTAGTGGCACTCCTTTGCGGCATCAGGCTATAAGACAGTTGATGTATGTACTGAAGCCCCCCACTCCAGGCTATTTTGGTATGCCACCACACTGCTTATCTAAACATGCATCTATACATTTATAGAATGATTATTTGCAAAATTATACTTTCAAATAATTTTCCTAATACAATATTTTTTTATTTTAAATACAATACTCTCTGAAAACCTATCCAGACTAGCAGGTCACTAATTTTTTACTATAATTATGACCTTAATACCATTTATTATCATTATTTTTTTATTAATGTAACACTGTAACTGCAATATTTACTTTATCTTTATTTATTTGTTTATTTATATAAATTTCATGCTATATTTTGCTACATAATGCTCTTATATCCAAAAATATTGTAGGCTTAGATTAGGAATAGTCACAAATAGTTATAAAGACTAATCTAAAGTAGTTTCTGTTAGTGACCAACATTTTTGTAAATGAAAGTACTTCTCAATCGTTAAGTTGATAAAAACATGTTTTATTATTTATTTTACCTATTTTTATTTTTTATATATATGTATATATTTTTAAACATCTTCGCTTCCAACAAGGCTGCAAGCAACCACTAATTAGTGTTGGAAGTTACTGGAAGAGAAAAGATAAAGATTGTAGAGCAAGATAACGATTGACAGAAGCTGTACCTCATTAGGAGATAATAGAATGAGTTGCCTAGTCATAAAAACAGAGACACAAGCAAAACTCATGCATCGAGTCAAGAAGATCAAGCATTCAACATCATAAACTGGAAACAATGTATTAAAAATACATCTGTGCCAGCCTAATAGATGAAGGAGTGTGATGCTGGTCAACAGATAGAATCTGTTTACCCTTTAAACTTAACTTATAATTATTAGAAACTTTTATTTATCTACATACAAATTACACTATTTCATTTGATTAAAAATTACTTACCAGGACTTGATAAATCTAATAAAAAAAAACAAGGCTTATAATGTGAAAAAAGTTTACAGGAACATGAAATATGTACCTGTACTATGTTGAATTTAATTAATCACCTCGGAGCTGGCTTTTTTTGCTTCTTTTCATCATCAGATTGATTTTCTAAGTCATCTGGTTTAACATTAGCTTTACGTTTTCTAGTTTTGCATTCTTGTTCTGACATATTGCACAAAACAGAAATCTGAAAATAGATAAATAGAAAAATGCATTAAAAATGAAAAGATGAGATAGAAATTGGATATATTATACAAAAGTAATAAATGTTCTACCCAGGCCGTAGTAGGATACTAATCACGTGGTCTACATAATTTAATTAACAAAGAAAACTTTAAAACACGCAAATACCAACTACATACAAATACTAACACTAATTATATATAAACAAAATAACAATAAAAAATGCAGTCCATGCAAACAGTGCTTTTGAAGATTTTCGAAGTAAGCTTTATTCTTAAAGATGCTCCTAGTATTTAAAAGCTTCGCATAGCAAATGATTCTAAATGTTAAATGTTGATAAGAAAAGCCATGTTTACAAATATTAAGTTGACTATGATACTTGTGAATCTTATACTTATGACCTAGTATATAGTATGAATCTTATATTTATATTATATGTATGTAGTTTTTATTTGCGAAAAATTAATACCAATGCTTGTATATTCATACCCAAGAAATTATGTACTATGTAGTACTTTGTACTATGTAGTATTGACAATTTTATAATACAAAATACTAGAATATATTACTTTGACATTGTATTAAATTTTTGATTGAAAGTCATTTTCTTGTTAAACGATAAAATGTAATTGAAATTCAATAAGTACAGCTGTGACTAAACTTTTTAGAAAAATATATAACTGTTTTTTTGTTTTTATTTTAATATATAATATTCAATATTTTGCTGATCTATTGTGATCAGCGTCATCAGGTATAATAAATAAAAATCATTACAAAGAAAATTGCTATAATAAAAACAAACAGGTAAAAAAAATATATATATACACACACACATATATACACACCACTTGGAATTAGGAAAAATTTTTGTCAAAAAGAGTTTGACAATAACTTGCTGACCTTAATCTCTTGAAGGTCGAAAAAAAAATTTTATACAAAGGTTTTACCACAAAGCATAGAAATGAGAAAGGAGATTTTTTGCCGACTTCAAACACTTCTAGGTTGGGATTGCCGGATATATATATATATGTGTGGATATATATATACATATGTGTGTGTGATTTATATATATGTATGTGGATATATATATATATATATATATATATATATATATATATATGCACACACACACACACACACACATATATATATATAATAGCGGCCAAAAAATTAAAGCATGTCAGAAAAGTTAACTCAAACTTTGCAGTGTAAAATATTTATTGAATAAATGAAGTACAAAATGTAATATATTAAAAAAATAGTAATATAATAAAATAATATTGAGTTTGTTGAAAAAATAATTTTGTCTGTAAACATTACTTGTTTCCACTACTCAGGTGTCTTGTCTTTTAAACTCTTACAAAATTTTATTCTAACTTGCAATTGTACTGGAGTTAATAAAGGTTTTTTAACTGGTCTTCTTGCAACTAAAGCAAAGTCAAACCAAAACCTTCTCCTAATTGTTCTCGAACTATCAGTAATACCCCCTTTCCATAGCAAGTTGCAAGACAACAATATTATTTTTATTACTCCAACTCCATACTGGAGCTGCAAATTCTAGGTATCACGGTGTAAACTATTCCTGTGGGGCCCGGTCAAACGCAATTTTTCTAAATGCTCATAAAATTAAAATTCCCAATTTAAAAGTGAAAAAATCCCATTCTCTAAATAAAGTTTGCCAAATTAAAGTTTAACAATGATTCTAAGAATTATTGAAAATTATTTACTGTTAAAAATTAATAGAAAAATAACATAAAAGATTATAATTTATTGTTTAAAACTTGAAACAAAATTGCCATTATTGGTATAACTAAGTGCTTGCATAACTGCAAAAATGTCTCCAAAAAAAACTTTTTGAGAATTGGGACTTTCCGAAAATCCCTAAAATCAATCGGAAAAAAATTCATTTCTCAAAATTTGCAAATAATTTTTTGCAATGCGTTCCAAAAACAGCAAATATTATTAAAAAAAAAGTTAGCAAGAAATAAAGTATAATTTAAAAAAAAACAAATTGGTTTACTTTAATACCCTTTAATACAAATGCTATTTCTTTAAAAATTTTGCCATCAGTTAAATAAGTTAAATAAATGTTTTTTGGTTATAACAAACTGGCTCTAAAAATTTATTTAATGAGGAAAATAGATTTTTTTACTTTACTGGTTGATTATATTTTAAATACCTTTAAAAACAAGAATATATATATTTTTTTATTACAACAAACTGGTACTAGAAATTTGAAAAACAAGAAAACTAAATTCACTACTTAAATAAATTTAAAACATAAAAGTAAATTTAAATGTTTCAATGAACCATAGTCATAACAACATTTTATGACTATGCATAAAAAAATTATTATTGGTATGCTTTGTTGCCATGATAGCATGCAATCGCATGCAATCTTTTGTAATTCTTTGGTAATTTTAAACAACATTTATTATTGTTTTTGCTGAGACTTTGTAATTGTAACTTTATTTCGCTACGCGATTTATGTATAAAGAAAGTTAATATTAATTATAAAATTGAACTTGCAATAAATGTGAAATATGAAATTTACAAACTTGCATTTACTATTTTTAAAACCTTTTTTATTTTTCTATTCTTAAAACATTTTTTTTGAAGACACAATTTACTACATGATGGTGTAATGGTTTGTCCATAAAGGACATCAAACAGAATTTAAATAATAATTAGACGTAGAAGATTGGTATATTTCATTGAAGCAGTAAGAAAATCAAGTCTAAGAATAATCAATAATGATACTATACCTACAAGAATTACTCCAACTACAAGTACAGTGATCAACCTGTTTATAAGTAATTTACCACTTGAAATTATACAAAATAAATCACATAAAATCTCAGATCATGAAACGGTTGTGTCTAAGTACCAATAAAATGTAAAAAAGAATTGTAATGTGAAGAATACTTCTTTCTAAAGAAATTAAATTATATGACAAAATTGACTATAATAAAATAAATCAAGAGTTGTTATTTAAACTTAAAGAAAAGGAGGTGGAATTTAGGAAACTTAATATCAATGAAATAGCTGAACAATTCATTAATAGTATTCAAGAAATCATAAAAATGGAAGTCCAAACAAAAACCATCACAGATATAATTAGAAATTTTCGCAATAAATGAGATAATTGAGAAAATTTAAAGCCTGCTATAATAAAACTAAAATTAATGTTTAAAGGCAATAGTGTTGCAATGTGGAAGACTTTAAAAACTATTACTGAAACTAAATGTAAAGCTCAATTTGATATTTGGGAAGATGTCAAGTTTGATAATTCAAGTGATATATCCATTACTGAAAAATACAATGAATTTCTCATTCAGAGTATTACCGATATTGAAAAATTAATAACAAAGTTGAATCAATGTGTGGCTGCTGATCACATAAAAATACCTCATCATGTGAATGAATTGAATGAATTCAGAAAAAAATTTTAAAACCAACTAGACAAAATAGTAATTGATTTAAAAGAAAAAAAAAATGTGTAAAGATATGAATGTACCAGTTTTAAAAAAACATCTACCCAGTCATTAGTTTAAATTTGCTGAAAATAATAAATTTGTCTTTAAGAACAGGTTTTGTATCTAAAACTTGAAATAGATCTACTATAATACCCATACCGAAAGTGACGTCTCCCAAGTTACCACAAGATATGAGACTGCTAAATATATTTGCAGCGTATGAAAAAATACTTGAACTATGTGCACATATACAGTTGTCTACTTATTTTGAAGAAAATAAGCTTTTTAATGAAAATCAATTTGGTTTTAGAAATAATCACTCCACTGAAACAGCAGTTCAATTACTTATTTTTGCTTGAAAAATTAAAGTGTTATAAAGTGGGAGGCGTTGTACTAAAATGGATTGAAATTTACTTTACAAGAAGAACTCAAAGAGTAAGAATTGTTATTCATAATATACATGATATTAATAATATTAATAGTTGTAAACATCAACCTCTTTGCAGATGACACATTAGTTTGCATTGAAGGTAATAATTACGAAGAATCTATGATGAAATTAAATTAAGACTTGGAAGTAGTTGCTACCTGGTTTAGTGGAAATGGGCTGAAACTAAATGCAAGTAAGTCGATGGGTATGCTGATTACAAGCTCTAAAGTAAAATACTTGAGTATCACTGTAAAATATCTTAACGTATATATCATTTTGGAAAATGAAAGAGTTAAATTCAGTGAATCTGTCAAATACCTGGGTATTAAAATTGACAATAATTTGAATTTTTCTGAACAAATTAAATGTATTGCAAATAAAATTGCTAAGATTACTGGGTATTTTACCAGAGTCGTTAAATATCTGTCAAAGTGGACAAAAACATTAATTTTTAATACAATTATTACACCTCATTTTGAATATGGTACTTCATTATTCTTAGATGCAAGTATAAATGATATAAAAATACTACAGAAGTTACAAAACAAAGCTTTGAGAACAATCTTGAAATGTGACTGGTTCACACATAGTAAAGACATATTGGTTAGATTAGACTGGCTATCTGTAAAAGAAAATATTCAAGTGAAAGTATTAAATTTTATACACTATACAATTCAACTACATAAAATGGATTCCTTCCAAGAATTTTGTATAAAAAACACTGAAATATATAATTATTGCACAAGAAATGCAGCAAATTATCACTTAAAAGTTCATAACAAGAAAAGTGGACTAAAGTCAATCCTTTGCAACGGTATAAAACTATACAGTATTTACCAAATAATTACCAAATGTATTACCAAATAATTACCAAATATATACAATATTTACCAAATGAATTGAAGTTGCTTGACAAGAAGGGATTCAAGTATTTAGTTGTGAAGCACATAAAAGAAAAAGGATGTTTATAAATAGTAGTTTCGTGGAGTTTGAACTCTTTTTATTGTGATTTTTATTGTGATTTTAAATAGCATCAAACGAGCTAAATATATATTAAATAAATAAATATTACTTTAAAAATCGCTATATTACTTTAAAAATTGCCCTTCAATACCCACCAGTGGAAAAAAAAATATATATATTCAAAAGAATACTAACATGAAAGTGACAACGATATATTAAGATTAAAAGTAAACCAGAAGAAGAAAAAATATAAAAAAAGGATCCTACACATTCTCAGTACACATTTTATCTCAGGGAAGGCAGGGGATGGTACATTTGGGAAATTTTTTGACAAATTCCTAATATCCTTAAAACGCTGTATCAAATTTATTCCTAGTTAACACCATGGGTATGGTCAGTGATATATATAAGTGCTTCAACATTTCAGTGCTAAGATATGCAAACCTTTTTCTGATTATCGTAAGATTGTTTGTGTATTACATGTAGTTAATTGAACCGAATGATTCCATTTATATTGAATGATATTATTACATCTAAATCTTATTCTTTTGTTGTTGTTTTTAAAAGTGGACTTTTGTTGTTGTTTTTAGGTTTGGTCAGTAATGTGTATAAATACTTTACCATTTCAGAGTAAAGATATGTAAAGCTTTTTCTGATTATGCATAAGATTCTTTGTGTTTTATAAATAGCTAATTAAACCTGATGATTTAATCTCATATTGGATGATAATAATATATCTAAGTTTGATTGTTTGCTTTTAGAAAAAAATATTGATTGCCATGTTTCTTGTTAGTTATTATTTTTTGTTCCAATGTGCATAACACTATTTTTATTTATGTTAAAATCAATGAGCCATTTAGTTGACCAATTAAATCAATGTCACTTGGTAAATTTTATAAATCAGTTTCTTCGATATATCTACATATTAGTAGTATATCTACATATAGTTTCATGATGGAAAAGATACATTTGGGTAAATCATTGATAACAGAAAAAGAAGAGGACTTAATACCAAACCCTGTGGTACTCCACTGCAAATATCACACTAATCTAATACAACTTCATCCATTATCACTCTTTGTATTCTGTAAATGTGGTAGAATGCTTGCTAATTTCCATAACTCTGGCAGCTCTCCTGAATGAATTGATTTCTTGAACATTATAGGTAAATATTTGGATAGTCCTACATCACAATACTTGAACACATAGGGACTGTGCTATAGCAATAAGGTGATTTTTCTTGACATACTAATTAGTAATCAAGTATAATATCTTTATTTAGCTCATAATTTTAACCACATTTAAATAATTGACTTGTTTTATTGAAGAAATGTGGTAAGTATTGATTTTCTTTAACAAACACTGATTGGAAACTAGAACTTAGATTAGCAATGATTCTTTTATCAGTAGGAAAAATATTTATTTTTTGGCACTATTTTCGAGTGTTTATATTTTTGTATGTGTTTGATTTTATAATATATATAATTTTATAATATATTATATATAATATAATAAAAAAATATAACAAAATTTAAAGTAATAAAATAAAAATATAATAAAAATTTTAAGTTGAAAAATAATACATAATACTATTTAACCTTTTAATCCGAGTCACTCTTGCGAGTAAACTCTTCATTATGGATTTAATTTGTTTTAAATTTAAAAAAGTAAAAATACTTGTGTTTTTAAATATGTTGCTTTTTTAAAATAAAAACATAGAACTTAAAAAAAAGCGAAAAACGTATTTTTTTATGCAGTTTTGCTGTTAGTCTATCGTTGCACGTTGAAAGTTGAGCGCTGATGTCGATCACTCATTACTTAAGGCGTCTCGAATCTGACGATTCAACTCATACTTGAATGCTAATTTAATGCTTTAAATACAGGCAGCACTTTGATGCGCACATTTGAAAATATACTTCTTTAAAAAAACTCTTTTCACACGTTTTTACCCAAAGCTAATATTATCTTTTGATATTGTAACAAAAAAACGTTCATATAATTTAAAATATATATAAAAATACTTTGAAACAAAACTGAAAAAAATTAACAAGCTAGCTTAAAAATGCTCAAATAAAAAGAATTTCTTGACCAATATTTTGGTCTCGGATCAATAAAAACACTCAGTAATTTAATATTCTTTTAAAACGAATGTTGTTAACATCATTTTGATTGACAGACGGTTTTCTTTCCTGATGAATTCATTACCACAATGATAAACACCCTAACATAGAAAATAACAAAGAACACTCTGACTAAAATAACAAAAAAAGTAAGGGAACAAATATACATAGTTGGATACGCACTTTTTTTGTTTTGTTTTGTTTTTTGTTTTGTTGAGTTTTTAGAATTTAGCAAGTCTTGAACTGGCTGATATATGGTTTCCAGTGTGCGGCTTTGTATTCCAAGCACTTTAATTATTATCTTTTTAAAATTAAACTAAACTATGGCTACTTATACTACAAATACTTAGTTCAAAATGTCTGAGAAATTAAAAAGACTCGATATTCAAGTGATGGTTTGTTTTGCTACTAGTCTGTTTATTTATTTTACATTTAATAGATATCCAAACAGAATAAGAGGATAAATCTCAATCTCTAATAAAACTATTGAAAAAATTGAATCATTTAAAAAAAAGATGATGAAATAATAAAAGTCTAAGTTTAAGTATTTGTTTTCGTTAATTAGATGAAATTTTATTGAAACGCTTTTATTATTGAACAATTTTATATTAACGTTATATTACATTTAACGGCCAATTCTTTTATATTAAACAACGGCAAAAACGCTATCAGCGTTTTTGCCGTTTTTTTTAATATTACATATAAAGAAATATCCCCCAAATCGACGATAATCTTTATAAAAATTTTGTTTTGACAAAAGAAAAAAAAGTTATTTCTTTTTTTTAAACTAATTTTTCTTAGTCTAAAAAATAATTCAAAGAAAGCGATAATTAAACACTGATTCAGATTAAGTTTTTAAAAATATTTAAAGAC